TGGGAACACTCCTACATTAATCTGTTTCCTGCAGTCCACTCTCGTCACCTAAAGACATTCCTCCAGCACAGAAAGTGAAAATAGACGAATTGGAAGACCGCTATCTATCTATCTATCTATATCTATATCTAGATATATCTATATATCTATTTGTTTGTCTATCTAATCTAATCTAGTCTAGTCTAGTCTCGTCTGATCTGATCTGATCTGATCTATGTATTTATCTATCTATCTCCTCTCCTCTCCTCTCCTCTCCTCGTGTTTTCTCCAGATGTTCCTTCGAATCCAAGGAGAGGCTTGGAAAGGTTCAGAGCGCTGGAACCACCCCGGCATGAATTTACAGGAGAGAGAAAACGCTTGGACGAGACCAAGAGGGGGCTCTCCCAAACATAGAAATCACTGTAAATCATGTCTCGAAATGGTCTCTGAACAGTGCGCGTGGTGAATTCGCTGGCGCCCGCCTACTGGCGGCACATCTTTACAGTATGTACTAGCTGCTCTAGCTGGTCCCCGTCTTCGATGCCAGTCCCACACTCGTTCGAGAGAATTCGGTCCGTATTGGTTTTGTCATCGCTTTCACGTTTCTTTTTGCAAGTGCTCGGTTGGCTGGGGGCTGTTGGCGGGGCAAGTGTGGAGTTCTGAGACTGGGGGCTGTTTGCATAGGTCTTTGCAACCATTCTTCTCCGAAAAGCGTCCTCCCAGTCAGCCCTCCTTGTCGCCTTCACTCCATCTTCCACCTTCCGCTCTTCGCACCGCAGACGCAACGTAGAGCAACGCGTTCGTTCCCAACGGACCCGTTCCTCCGGCGCAGGACTTTTGGGCGCCCTGTGCGTGGAACCCCCGCGGCTGCGCCGCAGCGGCGTGCAGCTCCCCAGCCGCGTGGAGAGCCGAGTAGAGGCGAATGCAAGAGAAATCGAGTGATGAATTGGTGATGGAAGAATTCGTGGTGAATGCAAGGAGGGTTTGTTGTATATGAAGTCATCAGATGTCATCAGGTTATATCAGGTGGTCTTTGTTTTGTGTGTTCTGTTGTTTGTTTTGTATTGTTGGTGCCGGGTTGGGCGCACCCTGCGACGTCCGTGCGAGGACCAACTTCGTCTGACTGGTGCGACGAAAGTAGGGAATGAGGGAATGAACCACCCCTGTAGGCCCCTCTGGTTCCAGCCACCCATATTCCCTACGAGTTGCACCAGTCAGTAGTTTTCCCTATCACCACCATCATCACCACGTGATACCACGTGTGTGTGTGTAGACATTTGTGTACGCATGTCAGTGTGCACAGATGTCAGCGTTCATTTAGTCTACATCTCGGTGTATACTTGGATGGAGATCAGGTGGAGATTTGATGTAGGGGATTGTAGGGGTTATAGATGTAGCCGTATTGGATGTAGGCGTTTGTTGGATGTACTGTAAAATACTTTGTTGAGTGAGCGGTGGAAACAGTGTCCAGCCAGGAAAGCCAGGAGCTGGAGCAGCGACCGCAGTCATCGGGATCAACACAGTGAGGCCGTGAAACAGTTGAAACAGATTCAAATTGCAATGGAAGCCGTTTGCTTTCCCGATCTGGAATTCTTTGCTTTACACATCTGGGTCCCTGGATTCAGTGAACCCACGAAGAGAGCGACCGACTGAGTCAGTGCTTGGGCTTGACCTAGGTCTTAATGCCATTTGAGATCCCTAGTTGCTGGAGACACCAGGCATTTACTCCGAATGGTTTCAACAGGTGGAGTGAATTGGTTTCGCTTTCTCTCAAGTGGCTCTGGCGAAAACCGAGCTCCTTGAAGCTTCACCCAGTCTCTTGGCCTGGCTTTCCCCACCTTCTCCGTCCTCGCCCAGTCTCTTTGGCTCTGCCAGGCGAAGATGGAGACTCTACAGCGACCTGCGGGCTCTCTCCAGGTCGCGCCTAGGGGTGCGAACGAGTGAGCAAAGCCTGAGCTACCCATGTCCTCCATACAGGTGCCGTTGTCGCCATATATGAGCGTGGTCTAGAACTAGTATGAACTCTATGGTGACTAGTTAACTGGTCTTCACATGAGCAGTTAAGGCCCGGATACAAGAGCAGCGTGCGTAAGTAAAACTGTGAGTTGCGTAAGCTTATGGTGAAATTGCAGTCTGCGTGAGCAGTGCCTAGTAAGCATGATGATGTTGAAGTTTGTAACATATTCCTTTCTTTGCTGCTGTTACAGGATCCACTTATCTATGATTCGTGTGATATGGAGACTTGTGTCATGTGCAAAGATCTATTTCCATGACCGTGTGCAAGCACGTTATGCATGAGACGAAATAGGTGTTTTTCAATTGGTTCTCTTGGGGAGAGTTTTGATGCGAACGTGTGCTTATACACTGCGCGTTAAAGCAGTGCGGTGCGTTTTTTAAAACATACGTAAACATGCCTTGTTTGTTTGATGCCTCCTAGTCCACGATGACGCACCAACAGAATCGATTTAGGGGTCGCGCAGAATGTTATTCATCAAGACTTACAGCGCAAGCAAAAAGCTGTGGTCGCGTGAGCACAGCGTAAGCAATAGCGTAAGCAGACCCTGCGACCTTTTGGTACATGCTCATATGTGGCCACACCCTTTTTTCGTGCACTGGCTGACGCCGTTCAAGTCGCGCGGGATGGGAGGCAGATGGAGGCCAAGGGGTTCACATCGAATCCTTTGAAGAACATTTGGGAAGACCAGAAGGAATTGACCAAACTATTAATATTGAAACTGTGGATGATAGGGATGCAAAAATGAATGTGTATATATATATATTAAATGCACTGTTCTTAGCCTACCTATCGTCCAAAAGTGTTGTTATGCTTTGGCATGCATTCTTCGATGTCTCTATGGAAATCTGGTTCAATCGATTTGTCCTATTCCTTGATTGACTGTCAATTTGCGCATCCGTTGATTGACTAGGGCGACAATGTTCGGCCAAAAAGGCGCTTCTGTAGCGGTGAAGCAGTTTTGCAGGGAACAGAACTACTCTTCGAGGTTTCAACCAAAGAGTCGTTGTCATTTCTTTTCATTTCGGTCGTGAAGTTGCATTGGTCGAGAACCAATTGGAGGTTGGAGGCCGCTGGTGGAGACCATTGCTCTTTGGTTGGAGCCCAGTAGCTCGAAGTTTGAAATCTGATTCTGCCAGTCAGATACCGAGCCCAACAGATGTTCGAATGCACAAATTCGGAGGTTGTGGGAGATGGTGGAGCCGAGCTTTCGGCGTGGCTGATGGGGCAACGCCGCCCTTCCAAAAAGAAGAGCATTGAAACTCCAAATGACCACGTAGCTCACATCACCTGGTGTTGATATGTTGTTTTAATCAGGTTAACTCACCCCACCTGCCAGGGTGAGGGTCTTTAAAGGGTTTTTTCCAATAGGTGCTACTCAAGCACCATGACGGTTCAATTGAGCCAATGAGGGGGCTTAGCTATTAGAGCGAAAGGATAAGCACAGATGTTCAATGATTCTCACTTTCAGTGGTCACGAGAAGTTGATCATATTTGAAACCAGGGCATGACCGCAGCCCTTTGTCTTGGCAAAAAGGAAAATAAGCAATTTTAGCTGCACGGGTTATGAGCCCAAAGACGCTGCTCCAGCCAGTTTTTTGGGTTCTAGGTGGCCAGCCATGAGTGAGGAAGCTACGTCCAAAAGTACGCCTGAATCTGGAGGCCTGAGGGCCATAGAAGATGCTGGACCAAAAGATTGACTTTTGGCTCGGCCTACTGGTCCCCCGGTCGTTTTGGGCCCTGAAGGATGGAACCCTTTTTGGTCTGAGCGGCTTCAGGACGAAGCAGTTCTTCGTGCTTTGAGGCCAGCAGGTTTGACACACGAGTTACCTGAGCCTCTCCCAGATCCTGCAGTGTCTCCGCCAAAGGAGGGACCTGAAGCAGTTAGAGCACTGATCCAAGGCCTCTTGTCAGAAAATGCGAGACTTTGGACGGAACGGGAGTCGTGGCCGTCGGGACACGTGAGCCATGTTTGTGGCATGCCGAACACTCCGTGGGGTCAACCTCCTCCATGGTATGGCATGATGTCTGAAGGGCCGCAAAAAGAAAGGAATGTGATGGCATCAATGCTCGAGTCAATGAGGACCTCGTGGGTGTTCCCTGGTGCTGGTGCAAATAAGGGCTTGCTTGGGCCACTGCCAAGTGGACGAGATAGCGGAGGGCAGGGTGCTTTTCATGGTCTTCCAGGTGATTATGGAGTACCTCACCGGCAGTTTGGTGGTCCACGGGCTAGTTTGATGGAAGTGTTCAACCGGGTTCCTTCGTCATCGGAAGAAGCACTTCATTCACTTTTCCCCGGGAGGTAACGCCATTGAAGCTCAACCAGCCAGTGGTGGGGGTTCGAGGGGCTTGATGTCTGGGGAGCACCAGGGTGGCACAGCAAGTGGTCTTTCCTGGTGCGGGACAAGGTCTTTCGCGCCACTCAGATTCACGGGATCAAGCAAGCGGACGCTAGGTGGACCTACAGGTGGGGACCCAGTCATGCCCTATGGAGGCATTCCCGCTTGGCTTGGTGGCATCATGGCTTGCGGGCTGTTGAACTTCCTGCACTACAAGAACTGTCTGAGTCAGAGATCAGACCTCTGATAGCTGGCGATTGGCTGACAACGATTGGTCCCTTTCTGAGAGACATGAGTGCCAGCTCGTCGTTGTGGTGGGATGAAGTCTTGAATGTGGCAGGCGCCTTGTATCAGGTCTGGTTGAACTTCGAGATTGGAAAAACAAGGATCCTCTCCAACACTGGACGCAAGAAGGGCCAGAAATGCTCATTTCCCCATGAATGGAAGGGAGTCTCAAAGCAGGGAAGATGCTGGACTTGTGGCTCAACCCAGCACATGAAACCTGATTGTCCGGTGAAGGACGTTCCGAAAGTCCAGATGAAGATTCAAGAAGACCTAAAGTCCAAGGAGGGTGTTTTGAAGGGAGTTGAAAGAGGTGGAGTTCAGCCCGGAGAGGCTTCTGCTGGTGCAAACTTCATTCCTCCGTCAATCCAGCCGTCCGAAGATCTGGTCAAAGAAGCGGTGCAATTGCTGTCAAGGCTCTTTGTGTGAGATCGGTCAATCCCAAGGAGGGAGCTGGCAGAGCTGTTCTGGATGGAGGAGCAACACATGTTCTCAGGCCGGCAAAATCCAAGGAGGAGTTTGAGAAGGCCATCCCTATCAAAGTCGAGCTGACCGCTGGGGTCACCGCTCCGGCAGGTGGAGGCAACTGGCACTTTGACACCCAGACGGTCGTCCCGTTGGGCAAGGTGGTTTGTCTTGGCTATAAGGTGAAGTGGGAGGGCGAATCCTTTGAGCTGTGGAATCAATCCGGCGAGCGAATTGGGGTGCTCTTGGAATCTGGATGTCCCACAGTCGGTTTGAAGGTGGCGAACAGCTTGATCACCGAGCTCGAGAGCTTCGAGGAGGATCTGATGCGCCGGGTCTCAGCTCTGAGGGCTGGAAACCCTGCAAATATTTCACCGAATGTCTGGAAGTGGCTGAAGGTTGGAAACAGCGTCAGAGGATCGCTGCAAGCTCGTCAGTTGTTGATCCGGTCCTGGTGGCGGAAGAGATTGGACTCCAGTTCGAGGACGGTTGTATGCATTGACAAGTCGGCCGACTCCAACCAAGATCTCCTGCCTGATCAGCTTAGCGGAGGTGTGTGAGAGGGTTACTCGGATCCTCACCCGGACTTCATCGTGGAGGGGTGAAGATCTTTCTGATTTGACACCGAGTCACGCCTTTTTTGATGGAGTGTTCATGGCCAAGCCACCTCAAGATGGCATCACGGCAGGGGTGGTGACACTTGGTTGGATGGAGGGCGAAGTGATCTTTGCCAGACTTGACAATCGTAGAGGCAGCCGATCTATGTGCTACCTCAAAACGCAGTGGAAGGGTGTGAGCCTCTTTTTCTCGTGGAACAAGCCACCGCGGGACGAGTCCGGTGATTCCGAGTTTGTGGAGGTCTTTGGTGGGCCGCTGAGAGAGCTTGGCAGTTTTTGTGAAGGTTCTTTTTGCGCCAATGCCATTCGAAGGGGAGTGGATCTGTGTTTGGAGTTAGTGCCTCTTTTGTGAAGGCTGCAGGCTTACTTGGCTTAGCGTCACCTAGTACCCACTGCAAGAAGTTTGAGCTTCATTGTGTCTGTGCTTGAACCCTCTCTTGGAGACCTGACGGTGTCAGGAGGGGGGAGCGAAAGGATAAGAGCAGATGTTCACTTTCAATGGTCACGAGAAGTTGGTCATATCTGAAACTTCTTGGTTGCCTGGCCTTCACAATGTGGCACGAGGGTTGGAAGGACTGCCCGGGCCTTCCTGTTTCAGGGCCGCCTGTTTCCATCCCGTTAGGCCGGCCACCCACATCAACAAGTTTACCACCATCCGCGCCACTGGGTACGCGTACGAACCAGCTAGCCAGGCACCTCCGAAGCCACATACATTCTCCTCCCTTCGAAGCCAGTGAGCTGGAACCCAGGATGCTTCCCATACCGAAATTTCAGTCTGGGTCAGAACCGAAGTCGGACCATATCTCGTCTGAACACATGCCAAGCTTGATACCAGAACAGGAGTCAGAACATTGTGTCAAGGAACATGTCAGGAGAGTTTGTCAATACCCTTCTTTCTTCCAAATCGCCTCTCAGAATGGAATCACTCGAAGTAAAGTAAGTTGTTGTGAAATGTTGTGAATATTGCAGGAAATGTTATGTGCAGGATGGTCCACTTCATAGCCTATGTCTTAAAGGTCGGAGACCCCATGAAAACACCCACGTTTCCATGTATACCTTGGAATTGTGCATTCTATCGTGTTCCTCTGTAGCGACTTCCAAGTGACCAGCCGCCCCCGGCCAACATCAGGATCCAGTTCCAGCTATGCCTCGGGGCTATTCACTTGATTGTTCTGTTTGGCTTCCAGCTATGTGCCAGCCATTTCCGTCCGTACTGCTTGGAGATGGGGGGTCACAGACTCGCATTGCGAGGCAGTGAGACCACAGACTCGCATTGCGAGGCAGTGAGACATATCTCAAATCTCAAAACCAGGAGCGTGCTAACTTTTTCTACCCAGAGGTCAGTGTGCAAGTGCGAACTGCACAGCCTCTTCCTGTCCCCAATGTCTGTTTGAAAGAGGATCATGGTGAAAGGGAAAAAGTTCCAGTATCGTCCACTAGGTTCCGGAAACAGCAGTGAAACTTGGGAAGAACGTGTCCTTGCGACCTAATGAAGAGATATGAAGAGTGTTACAGGGATGGGTTGACGATTGTGCGCCATGGTTGAGATTGCACTAAGAGCTGCAGCAGTTGTCAGTGGTTTTCGACTGGCAGCGGCGTCGAGTGTATTACGATTTCGGATCTGCAGAATGTTTTGGATCCAGAATCTTGGATCCCGATTAGTAAAAGGGCTCTTAATAGTGTTAAAGAGTTCAAAAGTAATTCTGCACACCATGTTTGTCTTAAGGGTTCCCTACTATGCTGTGTTTGGGGGAACGGTTCTTTATATGTTTGTGCTATTTGAAAAACAATTATAAGGGTTTTAAATCCTTCTGAGCCCTGTGAATACTACTAAGCCATACAAAGCCAATGACTGGCGTGCTGAGATGTTGAATAAGTATAGGTTTCTCTAGTTCTTCTCAAACTGACAGTTTCGCAAAGATATCCATTCCTGCATCAACCATTTATGTGAAGATTGTTCCTAAAAAAATGTTCAAGGTAGTAGACCAGGTAGGCCCCTGAGCCTCAATAATAGATTTGTTTTAAGGGTCCTCAGTTGTGAAAAGTTTGATCCCAAGGCAAAATACATCCTGTCCTCAGATCCCAATACTACTAAGCCAATGGCTGGCTTACTGAGATTGTTGATAATTATAGTAGATTTCTTTAGTTCTAACTGAGAGCTTCCCAAAGCCATCAATTCCTTAATCAATCCTTTATGTGACGATTGCCACTTTAAAACATGTTCAAGGTAGTAAGCTTAGTACTCTTAATAGACTTATTCTTAGTAGTACAAAGGATTGCCGATAATATCAACGAAGAACCTATGAATTGAAGAGAACAGAAAATGAATTCTACAATCAATTGCAAAAGGAATCCTCCCAGGAATCCAGATTTGTTTTGGTGGCAGTTTTTTATGGAGAGCCTCCCATTTGTTTGCCTGAGGGGGTGGGCCCTGGGCCCTAATCAGGATCCCAAATTCCTTTAAAGTCTGCGCTGAACAGGGAAGTGCAGGCTTTTGGCTTCACGTACAGCAGGGCCAGCGTTTGGGTTCGATCTACCGATGGTAGTTGACGCGACGCAGGTCCGTAGCGAGCCAACAAACGAACGTTCTCCGTCTGTGTTCGGGAGTTTGTGTGTTTGGTCGGTGGGGAGGGGGAAAGCCTTTTGATCCCTAGCTCTCAGTGACACGAGGTATATAGATGATCATGGCGGATTCCTTCAATGCGGCATGCTCTCTAGAAGTGTTGCAACGCATGGCTTTCGCACCGTGCTGCCAGGGGACTGCTCCACGACGCCAAACCGGGGCCGGGCTCGACGCCGACGCCCAACCGGGGCGAAGCCGGACCCGTCAGGTGGCGGTGCTGCTACGCTCGGAATATCCGGAGCTACTGAAGAGCCGATGGGTGTGGAGCCCCTACCACCACGACCTGGGGAACCAAGAGGGAAGGGATGTACAGCGTTTCATGGCGTTTCATCCCTCAAAACAGGCATCAAAAGACTATGGTTCAATACAAGATCCAGGTGTTTCCGGGTGGGGCAGAGCATGTCCATGTCGGAGATATTGCAGGTTGCCTTGGTGGAAGGACTTCTCGGAGAGGAACGGATTGCCCAGCAATCACCTTACGATCCCGATGCCTATAGAAAATTGGACGCCAAAAACGTGCAAGTGCAGTACAATGAATGAAGAATTGTGCGTTCTCCTTTCGCAAAGATTCACATCGATTTCACGTCCTGCCCAGACACTGCATGTGAATAGTTATGTGCATGCATTATGTATATCCCAAACACTCCATGTATGCCATATATGCCTACATTGACCCCCCAAACCACCCCAATGTAGGTAGATATGGCATACATGGAGTGTCGGAAAATCCCAGCAGCAGCTTCGGTTTCCACTTCGTCTATCGCTTTCAGACCGTCTCTGAAGACTCAAGACGAAGACTCCGGCCGATCTGACCGGGAAACGGGTATACGACGGTGAGACGGACCTTTCGTTGCACCCTGATTGGACAACTGGTGTCCATAGAAAACAAAGAAGGCAAAGAAGCCGAGTTGGACAGGAGTTGTTGTCCATATCACTGCTCCTGACGAGCACATTCTTTTGCGCAACTTGAACGGAGTGTGTGAACGTAAAGGCAGACGCAATGGAAAGGGACGTGAAAAACGCATCAAAAGGACGTAAAGGTCCACCCTGGGCCGTGAACATATTTCAAAACTAAAACGAGCACACTGTTCTGGATTTGGAGTCACAATGAGTGCTCTTTTTTTGTATGTGTGTGAGTGTCTGTGTTTTCAGCTGCTTCCGCAGGTGGTTGTTTCGTTTCTCTTGAAGGTAAGAAAAGAATAGAAGAAGAAGAAGAAGAAGAAGAAGAAACAACGAATGCATTCTCCCTTTCTCCGCCTCAAAGATGAAGGCCTCTCGTGCTCTGAAGGTTTGGGGCCAAGGAATTCGTTCCGTCCTCGCCCGGACCGGTCATGACCGGTCAGGTGCCGCGCACGGCAGGGGAACCCGGTGCCACCCGGAGTAGCCGCGTAGCCTGTCGTCGTGATATGGCCTTTGCTCCATCCTTGGATCTGGTTGGTGGAGCACTCCCCGTTTTTCACAACCGGTATACAAGACCAAATCGATCCCTTTATTTTGGTGAACAAAAGGACATCATCGGTAGCCATGTCCTTGGGTGTTGATTTACATAATAGCTTGTCCCAATATCATTTATAGCTGGGTTTTCCCAAAGCAGGTTGTGGCTTCAGAGGAGCACTTTAGATGAGGTGCACTCTAAATCACTGTGGATTCTGATGGGGAAGAGATTCACATCTCTTTCTTTCGTGCCCAGCATCCCCTACCACCTTCGAGACTGCCATAGTGGGAAGGGGGTACAGTCTGCCAGTTCTCCAACCATTCCACTACCAAACCCTTTGAGCCCATGAAGCAGAACGCCGGTTCCACGAGGTCGCCTCCGCCTTGGCCACGCTTCGGTGAGGGTCCGAAAAGGTCGAGCCGTTCTGAACAGCGATTGGTGTGAGAAAGACCAGGTAGCGTCCTTGTTCCTAGTAGTAGGGCCAGGAGCCCCTAGTAGCGTCCTTGTTCCTAGTAGTAGGGCCAGGAGCTTCTAGTAGCGTCCTTGCTCCTAGTAGTAGGGCCAGGAGCTTCTAGTAGCGTCCTTGCTCCTAGTAGTAGGGCCAGGAGCTTCTAGTAGCGTCCTTGTTCCTAGTAGTAGGGCCAGGAGCTTCTAGTAGCGTCCTTGCTCCTAGTAGTAGGGCCAGGAGCTTCTAGTAGCGTCCTTGTTCCTAGTAGTAGGGCCAGGAGCTTCTAGTAGCGTCCTTGCTCCTAGTAGTAGGGCCAGGAGCTTCTAGTAGCGTCCTTGCTCCTAGTAGTAGGGGCTTCTAGTAGCGTCCTTGCTCCTAGTAGTGGGGCCAGGAGCTTCTAGTAGCGTCCTTGCTCCGTTCGGAGCGATGCCCTGCTGTTACGTTCCTAGCGTCCGATCTCTAAGAAGTTCTTGGCCGCTTGTGGTGGTTCATAAGACTTGTTGATCCGGCGTGGAAGGCATATTCAGATGAAACAGCGTTTTTTTTTGCGTAGCCACTAACCCGTAATTAGCCCTTTTGTAGGGTGGGAAGTAAGGTAATGAAAGTTGAGATTATCGCAGCTGGTCCTGCCTGCATGGTCCAATACGTCCTATAATGAGTCCAGTTATTTGATATGTGATTCGCATCAGTTTCTAGTTCTTTTGGTAAAAGGAGCCGTGTAACATGCGTGGCTTTCCACTTCGATGATCATGTAGTCATTCATGCAGTCAACCTACTTCAGCTTGGCGCTCGACCGTTGGCGCCGATCGTGGCTCCAAGAATTCGATCGAGTGCAGTGTCCTGCTGTCATAAAGCTTCGATATGCCCTCAAAGAGTCTGGGGGGCTGCGACTGAGCCATCAAGTGTCAAGCCAAGCATCGCCATGTCCCATCCCAATGGTTTGTTGCGGTTGGTGTGTGAAGATCGTAACCAGCCAACCGCCTTCCCAGGCCAACCAACACGGTTCCACTGCCAGAGTCGACGCAGAACGTCGACACTTGCAGAACAGCCACTGTTCCCCAGTCAGCTCTCCTGTGAAAACTGGTTGCACCTGTTTGCACCCCCCCTACCTCTCAGGATCGCTAGAGCAGCTAAAGACAGAATTCCACGCCGCCCATCCACGAAAACGCCGCGAGCGGCCTCCATTTTGGGCGCCGAACCTCGTTTTCCCAATCCGTTCGGCGATGGACGAAGCAGCTGTTCCACTGGCCGTGCGAGTGGAGCTCCTCGGATGACTCGATGACGGAGAGCCGGGGGTGCCGGCTGGAGAGCCGGGAGCGGGCTTGGGAGAAGACCTGGGTTTGGGTGCATTCACATGTACCAAACACATGTCTATATATACGGAGTATACCTTTACTATCCGTGAGACCTACTTTCAAGGGAAAAGGCAAATTAAGAAACTATATATTGATAATCTTGATATGTATCATCCAGCAGTTTCAAAGGAATAGATGATAGAGGATTTTAGATGTTTTTAGTATCTACCATCCAGTGAGTGGATGTGACAGGGGCATCCTTTTCCTCACCCCGACATGGAACTGCTGGCCATATAGTTCTCTTTCAGTTCTCTGAATCCTCATGTTCCAAGTCGTTCCACCGCTCCGCCGCACCGCTCCGCACCCGAGGCAGTTCGTTCAGAAGCTTCGTTCACCGGAGGTGCTCTGCGGAGCCTTGGAGCGGCAGCCGAGCGGCCCGGGAGTGGATAGGGTGGTGAGGGTCCAGACATCGGCCGAGTTCTTCAAGTTTGCGGTGGATAGGGTGCTGTGGAAAAAGGGGTGGGTGGGTCAGGAGAAACAGGTGGATGGATTGGGTGCTATGCTGGGATTTTTTAAGGAGTTGGTCCCAACAACGGATGAACAATGGACATGGGATGAGATCCCCTGGATGAGCCTTTGATTACGACTCCAGCTTTAGGTGCAAAGCGCAGAGTTCAGGATGGTTCAGGGGAACTCGACCGGCAACAGTGTGGTTGGAACCAAGAGTTTACTGTACTTGGGATCTTGTTCTTCATGAGCCATCGTCGCCCCGCCGGGAAGTGAGGAAATGAATCTCTTCATGAGCTGTCAACTGCCTTTATGAACTGCCACTTGGGCCTTTAACTGATGCGAAGAGACGGGAAAGCCTTCAATGGCACTTGGAGGCCGTTTTCCTGCTGAGACGTTGTGAGTTGAAGAGGTGTTGGAGCCAAGAACATCAGTAACCCAGCAAACCTGAAACTCTTGGCCCTACAGGGGGCTCCCAAAAACTAGCAAGTGTTCTTTCAATGATCTTTGTGGGAGAAGAGGCCCTGCAGAGCCCAGAGAGGGCACAATCTGCAGCTGACCTGGCCAGGCTGGCACATGTCATCCAAGCCTAGTGGGAGAGAGACTGGAATTTGCCGGAGCGATGAGGCTATCCTTCAGCAGATTCGACCTGGGTGGGGTGGACTAGAAGAATGGAACTCGGGACTGACGCCAACGGGGACCCTCCAGAAGGACCGGCGCCCGCGAACCGCGCGGCGCCGCGCGCACCACGCAGCGCGGCGCGGCGCCGCGCCCCAGCAAGGTCAGCTACTTCCTCCGATGGCACCCAGTGAACCTTGGCGGCGACATCAGCGTGGGGGGACTGCGAACTTCCCATGGATCGAGATGCCACAACCCCCCACCCCGTGATCCAGAAGTGAATTTGAGAGGTTTTGTTCCTTTTCAGGCATTGATGGACATGACATGACATGATTGACACCGGGGTATCCTTCAGTTTTTGGATCATACACATACACAGTAAATCAACATCCGCATCAAATCAGCACTGAGCATTTCACCAAGCAATTCTTCAGAGCTTGGAATTGATTTGCGATCCATCCATCCATATCCACCCTGGAGGTCCATTCCAATCCCGAGACAGCGGAGACCAAGCAGCTTGGGTCACCGGCTCGTTGATCCCGTCACCTGCGGTGCGCGTGCGTTGCGCGCAGTGGGCGTGGGTAACGCCCTAGGAGTACCTGGAGTGGTTGAAGCGGGAGGTGCTCGATAAGGAAGTGGCCATTGATTCTCCGATGATGACGCCCGGCTGCCAGGATGGACGTGTCTTGATATCGTATAGGGAGACCCCTTAATAGGCCTATCGACTTAATAGGCCTGGTCGAGAATAATTAGAATCGTAGATATTTTATATTCAATACTGAAAAGCACATCGTGGGAGGCCTCCCTACTTGCCGGCATTTTGTTCCTTGGCACTTTGACACATTTTTGGATCATGGCTTTGATCTGCCCTTGTCAGATCATATCAGATCTCCAGGCCACTCAGGGATACACCCTAAAAATTGGTCAAAGTGGTAGCGCGGGTGGCCAAGCATCATAGGCACCCTAGAGGGGTCCACAGCCAAGTTAGGAGATGTGCAATGAGATAGTCTGCAAACATGTGAGACAAATACGTGACTATCATGCCACCCGTCTCCATGTTTTTGGGATTTGCTGTTCCTCCCGGACATTGGAAAGCCTTGCAATTTGGATCACGAGATTCCCATCGCTGGCTTATGCGTAGCAAGGATGGGGCACATGACTAACACCCTTCCGGACTACATGCCGGAGATGGGCAAGTTGGTGACTGCCTTGAACCTCAACCTAGCCACTGGGATGCTTCGAAACTCTTTTTTTTCAGTGCTGTCGCACAACGGGGTTTGTCCAGGTTGTTACAGAGGTTTTGGAATTCGTGCTGCAGGCGAATTCTGAACATTCTGAAATTTGCAGGGACCAAATAGGCCTTCCAGTGGTTCAGAGTCCATGTCGATAAGATTGGGAGACCAATCGGGTTCGCCAGGCGTTCTTGAAAGAGCTTTCGCGAGCGTGTTCTTCGGTCTCCGCAAGGCCTTTTTTAGGAAACCACTATACTAGAAGTGTGGGGTCTTCCAAGCAAGTTATGGGAGAGTTCGACCGGGAGCCTCCAGATTTGACAGATGCACGCACATCTTGGAACTGGTCAGAAAGGAGAGGTCATCGGACGCAATTTGGGCGAGAGACGACAGTAGATCTTCTGTTGGTACGAACTGGTTGAGGTGACTGGCCATCAAAAGAATTCAGACTCCCGAAATAAGACACACACAAACAGGATTGGCGCCAAAGATGTGTGGAACATGTGAGTCAGCAAGTGAGTGCCCAAAAGAACAACTGCATCCCTTGATATCCCTTGTGTTCATAATATATACCATAGATGTACTTTATGTCGTTCTTTATCACTAAATCCCAGATGACTGCGATGCTGTCTCAACCGCAGGTCCGCCTCTCTCGCTGTCTCTCGCGCACGGTTGGTCTGGCGAGGTGAAGACAGAGACCGGGAAGGCTACGACCTTCTTGGAGCGCGAGGCGCTGGCGTTGCTGCACCGCGAGGTCTTCCAAAAGGAGGAGCAGCAGCTCGGCAGGGAGGGCGGAGAGGGCAGGTGGGGACGGGGTCGAGATAGAGGAGTGAAAGTTTGAGTCGAGGGGGGTGGGTTGAGGTTTTTTGGAGGGGCGGCTGGTGAAGCTGAACCGCCTTGGAATATGCTGAATCTGATGGGGGAAGATGGAATATAATTATATGTTGAATGATTTCGATAGAGAAATTGGCTGACAGCAGGTTGGTGGCTCCGATCGCTCCGGCACCGCTGGAAGAGCAAGCCGACCTGGAGCCGTTGTACCGTGAAGGTAGGCCGACCTGGAGCCGAAGAGGTCCGACTGGTGACCCCCACCAGGTGTCAAAGACGTCACATCACTGGGGTTTGAGGAGAATGGTCGCCGATGGGGGGGAGTTGTATAGTTAGTTAGTTATGTATAGTTATGTTAGTTCTCGTTCTCATGGCTGAGAGACGGTGAAGTCATATGAATGCGAAGATATCACTCAAAACAAGAGATCGCCCAGCCGACACGTCTCGCGTCTCAAAACCGCGGTTTTTCTTCTTTGCTAACAGGTTCTACGAGGAGCACATGCAAAGCCGCACCAG